GTTTGGACCTTGGTTTGCTTCTTGGGAAGACAAGGAAGAGGTGAACCAAGAATTTGGCGACTCGGACTGTGAAGAGGGGACATGAGGGGGCTGAGTGGCTTTTTCTGTCTCACCTCCCAAGCCTTCCGATGATGCATGCTTCTTCTCTCTTTCCCACCATCTCACTGCCTCTCTCTCTCTCTGTCTCAAATATGCAGGCGAGTTAGAAAGGTGTTATCACGCCCTGTTCTCATCTTATTATACATTCTGGTTTTTCTAAGGGAGGTTTGATTTGAATCTCAGTTGTACCTGCCCAGAACCCATCACGCCTTCCCTTCACGATGAAAGAGGCAGGTATTCATAAAAACAAAAAGAAGACCAAGTATTCACTCCCTTGTGACTGTGTATATAGATATATGGAAGCTGTATATAGATATATGGAAGCATGAAAGCTTGCAGACGTGTAGTGAGTCATGTATATTTACTCCCCTGGATGCATTTTTAATGCGTGGGCAAAAGCCTCTCTAGGGGACAGTATTCGAGAACCCAGCTCGGGCCACGGACAGCCGAGCCCAGTTATTTAGGAGACACGCATGACTCATATAAAAGGCTCAAAAAGTTTTGAAAAACATTAATAATATGGGATTGTATACAATGAGACCATTTATCTATTGTATAAGGAGGTCACAATTATTAATAACCATCCGATGTAAAATTTGATAGCTAGGGTCTGTCACAGGGTTCGAGAAAATTGAGAGCAGTAAAAGTTAAATAATGAAACAACATAAAGAGTCCAAATCTAATAAAAGATATATACAGGATATAGACTTTGAAGAAACTGATTTATAAGTGAAGATGTCACAGAAAATCCAAAAACAAAGGATATGGCTTATGACCAAAACAATGAAAAATCATGGACAATGGAAAAAAGTTCGTATAAGATTGCAACCCTATACTATAGAAGTAAGGTGCAACTCAAAAACAAGAGAATACAGTGTTATGAAGTTGAAAACCCTTCCATTTGATCATCTCGATATGAAGATGTATAGATATACAGAAAATAAAATTCAAGTCTTAGAAATAGTGCACCTTAAGGCAAGTTATACGGATCATCTATTTTCAAGATTATTAAAGTTTATACATCTGCTCAATTTGCTGCATTTTTTAATTTTAAATTCATAATCAAGGTTGAACCATAGTTAGCAAGTCTCCATTTGAAACATGATTTTCAAAAAAATTGCAATTTTTTTATATCCATTAAGAAATCTTCAAAAAAATCGTGTTCTTTCAATGGAACCGATATAAATATGTATTTTATATTTAAAAATAACTTTAATTCTTCCATGTAATTTTATTTCTTCACTTAATATTATTGAAATTTGATTTAAAGATAAGAAAACTTAACAATGGAAGTAAATTAAAAATCTTGATTTAACAAAAAGTCCAAAAGTGTACAAAAAAGTACAAGAATACATTCCTCAAAAAATAAGATATCAAAATAATCTTATTTCTTAAAATAGTAGGTAGATTTCGAAGAAGAGTAATCCAATGAAAATTCATTGTTTTTCTCTTTAAACCTATAGCTTCCTTATAAAAAGCAAGAGAGAGATTTAATGATACGAAAGATTTAGGCAGCTAGAAATTCAATGGAAGCTTCAAATTTGTTTAAGCTTTTTGGCTTTTTTCTTTATGCATAGAATTTTGATTAATGTTCTATTTTATTTTTATTCTTTTATCTCATTGGTGTATATAAAGCTCACTATTTTATATATTTGGGTCTTTGTGTTTTTTTTTAGATAATAGAAACTTACAATCTTTTTTTTTTTTGCTGTGAACAATAATCCTATATCTTGGTTTACAATTATTGTTATTTATTGATGCAGTTCTGGTGTTTAGTATTGATGTTATTGTTTCATTTTATGCTCCTCAATAAATCTATTACATAGTTTGTGTTGTGATAGTTTTCCATGAGCTTTCTTCCATAGATTTTGGAGCAATTCTCTGTAAGATTTTTATGATCATGTCAGTCACTTAAACAATCTTCTTGATTTCTTAAATTGTTGATTTTATGAAAAGAAAATATGGAAAATTTTTGTCTGCCGGATTGTGAACTCAATTGAACCGATGTGTGTTTTAAGACCCTGGTTTTCTCTTACTATTTCTCCATTTCATTCGTCTTTGGATCTCTACAAATCCTTTCATAATTATGTGTGCGTTAGTAGATGTTTGGTTTCCCACTTGTTTAGACGACAAATTGGTCTAATTTTGTATTATGCTATCATATGTCACCCAATGGCACAGAAAGCAAAAACATGACCCAAAACTTGAAGTGAAGCCAAAATTTTTATTAAATTGAAGGGGCCATTACATGTGTTCATTACGTCCCCAATTTCTGACCTAATTGACAAAAAATAGCATTAAAATGAATTAATTAAAAATAGGGGAAGAATGACGATTTTGCCTCTCACCCACAATTTCTAAAATTTCGAATTGGTCCTTGTCATGGCCATGCAACTCTTGCAATCTTTCATGGCCTGTTCGGGGTCTTTCCGGCCTCTATCCGGCCAAAATATTATTCATTTCTTGATCAGCTCGGAGAGACGGTTGTTTTGATATCCATTTCGAGCCATGGATCGGGTTTTTGTGCAACGATCTCGAGGTGTGAAAATTATAAGAAACGTGCGATCTTTGGTTCAAGATCACGCTTACTTCTCGTTATTTTTCTACAATTTCTTCCTTGTATTTCGACGAGCATACCATCATAGGCATTTGGCAATGAACGTGGCTCGATTTGGGCCTCAAATGACCGTTTTCCAATTAGGTATTTTGGCCAGAATTTGGTTTCCGATGGCAGGAAAGTGCAGCAATTTTATCCTTGTCGTACGAAAAATCTGACCGTCCATCACTTGTGAGGTTCGGCTCAAAGGAAGCCTCTAACCTCATGCTCGTAATGGGTCTAGTTTCGGGCCGATTCGTGTGCGAACGTCGTAATGTGGCCACACGATCGAGGCACGCTCTGACTGGGAATTTTGCAACCTTGCTTCGAATCGCAATCTTCTCTCTAGGTTTTCTCTCGGTTCGGGCCACACCGTGGGGCATGCCACATATCAGATCCATGGGGCCGACGAGACAAACATGCTCCCAAAATTTGAGCTCATTCTGACTCAAGACAAAGAAGATACGAGTGTTCAAAATTGAGCTCGAAATCAAACAGTTTTTATTAATGGAAAATGGTTTACTATGGGTGAACCGTAATAGCATATGACCTACCCTTTTTAGGTAATTTGGCCATAATTTGGTCTAGAAACGTCTGATCAAGCCGAAACTTGATCCCTAACGATTTTTGAATGTTTCGGATCCAATGGTGATGGTCCCCATAATTGTTTGACACTCCGGTGATCGGGCTGTAGTTATAAGGTCCATTTCCAAGGCGTTAGAGGCCGACTTTACAAATTTGTTTCTGCATCAACACTGCCTTAACGTCGTCGGATCACGTTCTTAGGAGACCCTTAGCCACATTTCTGATCATTTTAAGACTATTCTGAGAATATAAAAAATTTCACTTCTGAATAAGGGTTTATTGACGTACTGCTTTTGTGGTCCACAGGCATTTTTGGTATCTGTGTACCTAAGTCGTAAACTCCTCTCTCCTTATTCGCATCAGGGATACAAGTTGAAAAATACCCTCAAACAGTTTACTCTGCCGAATGTTGTGCTTTGAGAGAAGCGAGAAGGACAGCATACGAAATTAAAATTGGTCCTTCGGCCTTAAAAATGAAACTTCCTGGCCACTTGATCAACATGACCGCCAAAGCGATACTCGTGCGAATCTATTTCCCGGAGTAGTGACCAAGGTGCTCTGACGTCTGGGAGCCTTATTGAAGGGCTTATAGACCAAGATGTGGAGACTTTTGGGGGGGAGAAGGGAGTTGAGCTACTGGTGAGGGACCCCTCTGGGAAGGCCCACCATCCACATCAAGAGCTTTTGTTTTTGGTTTCAACAGCTGGGGGCCTTGCTTAAGGGCTTATAGACCCAGTCGTTCAGAATCCAGGCTTGTCTGGCAGTCGGGGGCCTTGCTTAAGGGCTTTCTTCCCAATCAGTCAGATTTTTGTGTCTTCTAGTGGGGGACCCCTTTGGGAAGGCCCATCATCCATGTTAGAAGATTGGCTTTGGATAGACAGCCAAGGATCCCTTGATGGGCGTTGTTTGCTGCTTTACCCAGTTTGCTTTGACAAGCAAGGTACCTCTTTGGGCCCCATCCTGTCAGGTCCAGTGTGGGGCTTTTTGCTGGCATGCCCGACAAGTCTGAGCGTGTCGGTCAGGGAGGGGTTTGGCGAGGCGACCTCTTTGGGATGTGGATCACTGTACCTAGTCAGGGGTGTCTTGTGGCCGGCCTGAAATGTCTAGACTAAAACAATAACTGAGAACCTTGAGGAGGCTTCACCATGGTTATTAGTGGTAGGTTTTGACCTGATTTGATAGTCTCTTACCTTTAGGAGAGTCTTTGGTATGCCGTCATGGCTTTCTTGTTTTTGTTTGACTTCTTGAGAACGGGTTCCTTTAGCATGGAAACCCGACTTGTCGTCTTAGCGATTCTTCTGACCTCTGGGTCCTTTCATGAACGGACTCAGACTGTTGGATTTTTCATGAAGCTCTTTCCTTTTGTAGCAGGGTATTCTGGTAACAAGGATTTTTATTGAAGTGTTGGTTGAAGCCGCTTAAGGAGGCGAACGTTACATCGACGTGCTTATTGGTCCAAGTGCCCTTTCAGGATTTCACTTGGACAAGGGGAAGAGGTGCCGTAAAGACGATTTTCACCAACCTCCTTTTTATTGACTCTTTTATCCATGACCTTACGGTATTGTCCACTCTTTTTTCCATTTTTGCTGGCAGTGCCTTTTCGATTTTCCCAGTGCCCGATTTTTATTTTAAGGAACACTCTTACTCATGGTTTCATGACCATGCTCGTTCGTCATTTTTACTCATGGTGCCCTTTTAGGTTGTCACCATGCTCTTTTTTTGTGGGGGCATGTTTGAGGTCGTGCCTCCCGAACCTGGGCTATGATTTAAGGTTCTATAGCCTTGACAGTTGTGCAAAGCAGTTTAACGTCATGTGGCCAGAACGTGCGCTACAGTTTAAGGTCATATAACTTGGACCGTGGCTAT